TGCTGTAAGCCACTTGCCAGGATTGAACTGACGACCTTCTGCTTACGAAGCAGACGCTCTACCACTAAGCTAAAGTGGCGCACAGATTAAGTATATGAATCAATAATTTTCCTGTATCCTTTGCGGAGTGAGCAAACCTGCTCCTGCTTCTCGTACCAGACCAGATATTTATGGTGTTATAAGCCACTTACCAGGATCGAACTGACGACCTTCTGCTCTCAAAGCAGACGTTCTGCCACTAAGCTAAAGTGACACACCAGATAACTGCATAAATCAATAATCTTCCTGTATCCTTTGGGGAGTGAGCAAACCTGCTCCTGCTCCTCATACCCGACTAGAGCCTAATGCTGCTGTAAGCCACTTGCCAGGATTGAACTGACGACCTTCTGCTTACGAAGCAGACGCTCTACCACTAAGCTAAAGTGACGCACAGACTAAGTATATGAATCAATAATTTTCCTGTCCCGTTCACAGAATGGGCCATCCTGCTCCTGGTTCTCGTACCAGACCAGAAATTTATGGTGCTATAAGCCACTTGCCAGGATTGAACTGACGACCTTCTGCTTACAAAGCAGACGCTCTGCCACTAAGCTAAAGTGGCACACAAAATAAATGCATAAATCGATAATTTTCCTGTATCCTTTGCGGAGTGAGCTGACATGCTCCTGCTTCCCGTATCAGACCAGAGATTTATGGTGCTATGAGCTACCTGCCAGGATTGAACTGACGACCTTCTGCTTACAAAGCAGACGCTCTGCCACTAAGCTAAAGTGGCACATAGAGTGAGTACATAAATTAATAATCTTCCTGTATCCTTTGCGGAGTGAGCAAACTTGCTCCTGCTTCTCGTACCAGACCAGATATTTATGGTGTTATAAGCCACTTGCCAGGATCGAACTGACGCCCTTCTGCTTACAAAGCAGACGCTCTGCCACTAAGTTAAAGTGGCGCACAAGATAACTGCATAAATCAATAATCTTCCTGTATCCTTTGCGGAGTGAGCAAACCTGCTCCTGCTCCTCATACCCGACTAGAGCCTAATGCTGCTGTAAGCCACTTGCCAGGATTGAACTGACGACCTTCTGCTTACGAAGCAGACGCTCTACCACTAAGCTAAAGTGGCACATACAGTAACTATATGAATCAATAATTTTCCTGTCCCCTTCACAGAATGGGCCATCCTGCTCCTGCTTCTCGTACCAGACCAGAAATTTATGGTGCTATAAGCCACTTGTCAGGATTGGACTGACGACCTTCTGCTCACAGAGCCGACGCTCTGCCACTAAGCTAAAGTGACGCAGAGAATAAGTACATAAATCAATAATCTTTCTGTATCCTTTGCGGAGTGAGCAAACCTGCTCCTGCTCCTCATATCCGACTAGAGCCTAAAGCTGCTGTAAGCCCGTTGCCAGGATTAAACTGACGACCTTCTGCTGACGAAGCAGACGCTCTACCACTAAGCTAAAGTGACGCACAGATTAAGTATATGAATCAATAATTTTCCTGTCCCGTTCACAGAATGGGCCATCCTGCTCCTGGTTCTCGTACCAGACCAGAAATTTATGGTGCTATAAGCCACTTGCCAGGATTGAACTGACGACCTTCTGCTTACGAAGCAGACGCTCTGCCACTAAGCTAAAGTGGCACACAAAGTAAGTGCATAAATCAATAATCCTCCTGTATCCTTTGCAGAGTGAGCAAACCTGCTCCTGCTCCTCATACCCGACTAGAGCCTAATGCTGCTGTAAGCCACTTACCAGGATTGAACTGACGACCTTCTGCTTACAAAGCAGACGCTCTGCCACTAAGCTAAAGTGGCGCGCAGAATAAGTACATAAATCGATAATCTTTCTGTATTTGGAGTTTACGAAGTAGACAAGGTTAGTTGTCAGCCACACAACGCACACAATCGCAGTGCGCGCAAGCGTTTCACACGAGAAGAAATGCGACAACGATAACGGATCATATACCGTGTTTCAATGTGTACAAAATGACGAAACTTGACTCTCGCAGTTAGTGACGCATCGTCAACTTTCGGAATGTCCAATCCTTCTAACACCAACGGCAGTAACGAAGTCGAGGTCGAGGTCAGCGAGCCAGCTACAACCCCGGTAGAGATCGCTCTGAAAGACGACGTTGCTATGCTGATCAAGCGCCTCGCTCCGTCTGCACCGGTCGCTGAAGAACTCTGCTCGGCATTAGCGAAAGAGTGTCTGACGGAGGCGCACTTACTCGGTTCGCTCTCCCAGCAAGTCAAGGATAGGATCGGCAACTCGGTGTCTATAGCAGCTAGCGCCACTCTGACGGTCGTATGTGAAGAGATCGGTGCTGTGGTGAAGAAGAGAAGGAAGCTCAATGCTGAGATAGAGGCCTCCAGAACGGCAATCCCCGTGGGTTCTATCGTTGAGAGTGCTCTGAAGAACTACCAATCACCATTGCCAGCGAGCTTGTTCTACGGCCTACCTTCTACAGTGGTATCGGGTATAGCTAGTGTGAAAGACGGTTGTTATGTCAACTTTCGTGACTTACTGGGAAGTAATGATGCTGGTTCGATCCCCGCTGACGCCTCACGGGATGGTACGGCTACAGACAAGCCGGGCACAACTGGTAAAGGCTTGAGAGGTAAGTCCCCATCGCTCGCGGATTTTTGTCGCTGCGCCATGAGGTTTAGCTCACTGCTGGCTGGTTTGGTCGATCCGTCTATCCTGGGCCCTGTCGACATATCTTCTTACACACAGAGGATTCTGGCACTGAGTCCTATGCTTACGGCAGAGCAGATCTGGTCCTACGACGACATGTACCGCAAGAGCATACCGGCTTTGATCGCTAACAGCAGCGCCTCGGGTTCCCCCTTGTCCCTGAGACAGTGCTTTGTATCCGACGTAAACCCCAGTCTGCTTTCCGAGTGGGCTAGTCGGGCGGTGGTCGCGTCCACTTCACAGAGTCAAAGCAGGAGACCGAAGTCTCAAGAGCTCTGTCGTGCCTTCAAAAACGGCAATTGCAGATATGGTGACCGTTGTCACTACAAACACATAGATTCGTCCAGGGTGGCGATCAACTCCTCATCGGGAAGCTCTGACAAGCCAACCCGCGGTAACAGTCGTTCGACCGGGTCCGACAACTCGAAGAAACCGGTGCTCGAAGGTAAATGACGGTGTCCGGCTAGTCGCCTGATTCGCTTGCCTTGCGCTCTCGTTTCTGTGTGTCTCTTCTCGATAATAAAAAGACTCCATAAGTCTTAATGTCTCCTGTACTTAGATACGGGTTGCGTTGAAAGTCGAGTTAGCGAAAGTTACGCACAAGAAGCCGCGGTTCTCGAACATGTGCGGAAACTGGAAGAAAAAGGGCGACAATCGGAAGTCTTTAGTGACAACCGCTTAGGCTATCAAGATGGGACAGGTCTACTAGCCGCTCCTCCCTCTTGTGTCGCCGAAACCTTATGCCCGCCGGGTGTGGCATCGGTGGCCAAACTGTTCGAAGATGCCGCCAAATCGGTGTGTGAAACTGGAGTGTTAGCTGGCATAAACGGCGACGTCAGTCCTGACCATATCCCTCAACTGGCTTCCGCATTCGAGAAAGCCGAGTCGACTCTGGTGGAACGTCTATGTGAGACTCTCAACTGTTCACCTCGAGAGTCGAGCTGTGGAAGCCCAGTAAGATCCGAACTCGGATCCGCCTTAGCGTTGGCATTGGGAGACCCGGATGCGAAAGTTTTTCGGGAAGTCGACGAAGGTCTTCGTCTGGGAGTAGAGGCTCCCCTGAGATCCTCGGGGTTATTCCCGAAGGCTAAGGATAAACATGCCGTAAATAAATCGATGGAAGCGTTTAATATCAAACGCTCTCATAGGAACTTTTCGTCAGTGGAAGCAGAGCCAGAGGTTTGTCTGGTACTGCTGAGACGCGAGGTGGCACAGGGGCGCATGACAGAGCTGGATGCCCCGACCGCACCTGAGAAGGCAGAGAGGCTCTTTGCGAGAGTCGGTCTCATCCCTAAGCCAGATGGCAGCTATAGAGTCATCGAGGATCATACTTTTAGTGGTCTCAATGCCCGCTGTAAGCTGGTGGAAACCTGCTCGCTGCCACGGGCGTCAGATCTGAGATCAGGCTTAGCAGATTTGATGCGGCCTCAGTCGTCGTGTGGGGCCTGCTGGTGCAGAACGGAGCACGGGGCGTCGATGGAGTTGACCGGTTCGGACTTCGTCATCATGAAATTCGACATAGAAGGAGCCTTTCGGCACCTGTTTCTTCATCAGAGAGACCGACCCCTGACTTCTCTGAAGGTAGGGGAGAAGATCTTCCAGAGCTGCGCCCTTCCGTTCGGAGCAGCTGTAAGCCCGTATCATTGGTGCAGGATATCAGCCCTAGCTACTCGGCTGACGGTGACACTGCTTCGTCACATCCTCCGTCATGAACGGTTCCTAAACTTCATCTATGTCGACGACGGGTGCCTCGTCGTCCCAGCGGCATGGCACGATTTGGCGTGCGCCGTATCCTTCCTGGTATGGTTGGTGCTCAACATACGCATCTCCTGGAGGAAGTGCGTCTTGAGGGCCTCGGTGGTCAAGTTTATTGGATTTCAACTGTCGGTGCGCGAGGCGAGGCCGTCAGTGACAGTCCACCCAGATATATGGCGATCGATCCGTGACATCCTGGGCCGTGTGTTCACCACAGGCTGTATCACAGCGAAGACTCTGTCGAAGCTCCTAGGCAAGTTGATCTTTGCAACTCAGTGCCTGAGAGAATTGAGAGGTTTCTTGCAGCCGCTATTTGCTTTGTTAAAAGCGTTCGAGCGAGCGAAGAAGAACGGTAGATTGTTCACCGTGAGGCTGAAGAACGACAAGTCCACACGGCGAGCACTCTCATTCTGGGAGAGCGTGGTCACTCATCCCCCAGTCAGAGGACTCCCTGTGAGTGTTGGAAGTGCTACCGTGGTGGCGGCCTCAGACGCTTCTACTACTCATATCGCTGGATGGGCAGCTACGGCGACCGGTGGAGTTTGGTTCCGTCTTGAAGCTTCCGAGGTTGAGCTGGGAGATTGGTATCGCTATCTCAAAGAGGGTGCACCTACGCACAAGGACATTGCTTTCCTCGAGTTGCTGGCGGCAATCGCCACGCTACGACTCTGCTATCGGTTCTCCCAGTCTTTGACGTCTGCAGGATGTGTTAACGCGAAGATATTTTTGATGTGCGACAACGAGGCAGTAGTTCATATACTTTCTAAGCTCTATTCACCAACAACACTGGCGGATGTACTTCAAGTCGCGGCCAAATGGCTGGGCAGAATCCTCGATAGGACTCATGTGTCTCACATCGGCTCCGAAAGCAATTGGGTCGCAGATTCACTATCACGTAGCTCGACAGTCATACTTCCGCCCACCTGGGTCGAGGAGGTTAATCCGCTGGACGATATATGTGCCAACCTCACGCTCGGCAGGGGCTAACTATCTCGTGTGTGTGTAGGGTTTGCATGTCCAATGCACAGCACGGAATGGGGTCGATAGCGATCCGTGGATGATGAGGTTTCTGGTGTTTCAGATGTGTTGCGTACCACAGTATCTAATACGTCTGAGAGAACTCGGGGTCGATGGACAGCCAGCACAACGAGTTCCAAGAGCGAGAAAAGAGCCGAAGTATTCAGGATCCTTAATCATTTCGGCGAAGGCCAGGCTCGCCGCTTTGCCGAAGATTTCGCCCGTTCAGGCCTCGCTGCCAACACTAATGAGATGTATGACCGAACAGTAGAGTTCTATCGCGATGTAGTGGGACCAGTTTGCTTTCCGCTATGCGTGGAGGATCTCCAATTATTTGTATGGGTTTTAACTAGAGCAAATTACGCGTATAATTCGATATCTACTTTTGTTAGTGCCCTCCGCTCTCGGAATAAGTGTTTCGGAGCAGATTTGTCATCGAGCGACTCCTTCCGATTAAAGCATATCCTACTAGCAGCCAAAAAGACCACTGAGAGCGTACCTGTGATCAAAATGCGGCCCCTATCCCGCTCAGATATACTCTCGGTGTTTCACAGTTGGCCGCCGTCGCGCGTTCGGATTGCTGCCGCGATTCTAACAGGTATCTGTGCTCTGCTCCGTGCAGATGAACTCCTGGCGTTGCGATGGAGGGATGTATTCGAGACGTCTGTAGAAGGCTCTGGCCGTCTGATCCTCGGGCTAACGATACGATCAAGCAAGACAGACCAAGCAGCAGAAGGGCAAACGGCGTATCTGGCCTGTACAGCCGCAGACTTGGGCTCAGGGGATGACGGTGCTGGAAACAACCTAAGTTGCGACTACTGTCCTGCTCATGTCCTGCTGGGTTGGAGAGGAAATGATGGCCTAGATGATCCGATATTCCCGATGGCATATAGCTCCCTATTGTCGCAGATCCGCCAGAAGCTAGGTCCGGTAGTCGGAATCGACGTGGTCGATGCGTTTGGGACACACACTCTGCGGCGAACAGGTGCCCAACTTCTGCATCGGTCTTTACCAGGTGACTCTCCAGTGTTAATGCGAGCGGGCAGGTGGAGATCTCTGGCGGTATTGGAATACCTACATGAGAGCACGGAGGAAAAGGCTAAACTGGCCTCGTGCCTGATGATGTCGAACTCTTAGAAGATTTGAGAGCACCAT